CACACACACACACACACACATATATATATATATATATATATTAATAGCTCTGAATCTCATAATTCTTTCTCGGGGTTTATTCTTCGTAGATATAACCCGACGTCGGATGACCAACGGCAGCAGTGCTGTTGACATAAATAGCACTGTTGATATAATGGGTGGTATGGATGAGATTCCTCTTATTCTGAATGATTCGGATTTTGAAGACGATGATGTCGATGGGAATGACAGCTATAATCGAAGTATGTTCTTTATTCTTTATTCGATAAGTTTAAATGAATGGTAAACAGACGAACATTGATACCCAATAAAATCCGTTCGGGGTTGTCTCGTTTGCTGGGATCATGTGTGGGCTGCACAGCCAAGCGGGCTCGAATACGTTAAACGGAAACGACGGGATGTTCTCAATCGTACATGTTTGCACCCGACACAGGGTTCTAGACATTTATATTATATTTGTATTTAAATAGACTGTCCGATCTATAGTACAACAGCAGTGCACGCGCATTTGTGTTTGAGCTTTTGGACTAGCCGTAAATTCGTACTTTAATGTTTTACGCAAGTGTTCTACACCACTCATGCAAAACTGATACTGGGCAGCGCGTCCTTCTGTACTATATGCGGCATGCACGAATGGGAAAGTAAAAGAGTATCTACATATATTACTATAATGGCTGAGAAACAACCACCTAGTTGTTTGGCTTGTATTTAGCATGGATACGACAGTATATATATATATATGCATTAAACGTATACTCGGGTTTGTGTACAGGGCCCAAAAGTCGGTCCGATCGGCTGTACAACAAAAGTGTGGGAGATGCACTTGATCTGCCCATAAACGAACCCAACCGACAGAGATGGAGGAAATCCAACTACGAAAAGTACACCAAGCGATATAGGCCTCAGGGTATGTGCCAATTACGAGATGTATACCAAAAGATATGCAATATATATCGCAGTGTGTGTATGTAAGCGTTCCTACATACACGAAGATATTATGATAGTATGAGGTGAAGTATCTGGGGCTGTCTCGCTTGCGCAAGTGATGGTTGGTATGTATGTTGTCTCTAGGAGTTGTATGTCGAGAGTCATAACAATAGCACATACATATCTCATGCACACACACAACCCATCTATATGTATACAGACACCCACCTCGGATGCCGCCTTCACAGAAGCACTGTATATGTTTTGTGTGCGTATTATGTCATTCGGTTGGCAGTTGAGTTGCGGTGCTAAACGCTATCTCTACGGTGTGATGCAGAATGTTCGTTTATGGTTCACGGACACTCGTGTACCAATCACGCGTACATACACACATACATATATACTTTAGACAAAACTCTCTACTCACACACATATGTATATACTTCATTCAAAACTATCTATAACACACATATTCTTCATACCAAGCTCTACGCACACGTACAAATACACTTGATTCAAAACACACACACACATACATATATGGATACTATATACAAAAGTCTACGCCACATACATACATATATATATATATATATATATATGGATACTATATACAAAAGTCTGCGTTCACGCGCATATACATTTTACACAAAAACTCGACACACTTGCCCTTCTGCTGAACATATCCTGTCATGTGTGCTATGACATTCAATTAGCAGTTGCATTGCTCGCACTCACGGCGCAGCTGTAGAGACATCCTCTCTTCACATAAGTCATGCACACGCACGTTTAACATGCACATACATCCCACGCTTACCAACCCACAGGCATTGTAACTGCACATACACCTGCATCTGTCACTCAAACCACACACACGTACACGTTTCATAAACATACACTCGTACACGTATCACAAACACACACGTGTCAACTGTTACCTCTCTCTTTGACAGTCACGGTACTTGTTCCCTCGCACACGCCAAGCCATTCTGCTGGGGAACGCTGTCGCTGCACTGAGTGCGTGACTGTAACTTTGTACGTATTTCTAATACATTAATGGTCTATGGTACAAATGAACATACATTGTACATGAACACAGACAATGTACATCTACCACACACATAGACACACATACACCTACCACACACATATACACACATACATCTACCACGCACATAGACACCCAAGCATCTACCACACACGTAGACACACATGCATGTACCACACACATAGACATATATACACCTAACACACACATATACACACACACATAGACGCACACACATAGACACACATACTTTCTCATACACTCATACCCATCTGGATCACCCCCCTCTCAGAGTCGCTGTACACGCCCTCGCGTGCACGCTACGCCATTATTCTGGTAATTACTGTGTTGGCCCTGGCCACGCGCCTGTACCGAGTGTCACAGCCGAGTTCGATTGTGTTTGATGAGGTGCACTTTGGGAAGTTCGCGGCGTTCTATCTTAAAGGTAGGTACATAGGCTGATAGACAAGTGAGTGAGCGAGCAAGGGTCATGAGCATGTGTGTGGGCGTGTTACATAGTTGTATCTCAAGGGTATGTACGTAATCTGATAGGCAAGTGAGTGAGTGAGTGAGTGTGGGGCATCTTCATGTGTGTGTGTGTGTTACATAGTTGTATCTTAAGGGTATGTGCATAGGCTGATAGACAAGTGAGTGAGTGAGTGAGTGAGGGTCATGTGTATGTGTGTGTGCGTGTTACATAGTTCTATCTTAAGGGTATGTACGTAGGCTGATAGACAAGTGAGTGAGTGAGTGAGGGTCATCTTCATGTGTGTGTGCGTGTTACAGAGTTGTATCCTATGGATATGCATGTAGGTAGGCCGGGTACACAGGGACTTTCTTTATCTCATGCGCACCTCACTTTATTGTACATGCACCTCTGGGCAAATGGTCCTTGGGCAAAGTCACAATAGAGGCTTGCTTGTATGTCTGGATACGTCCCTGAGAGCACATGTCAACACTCGCCTACTATACATCTCAGGTCATATGTGCTTCTAAACTCTTTATGCTTTTGGGACGAATCAAGCCATTCCCACACATCTGAGTACCCATCTACCTACTTGTCTGTCCAAGGCGGGTGCTTCTCCGCTGTACCTGCACCTCCTGTTAAATGTACGTTGTACACAATCGCAGCACATTCGTGCCTGCTTGTGTGTGTTGGTTAATGGTTGGTTAATCCGTATGCACACGTTGTACTGCTTGTTTCCCTGTGCATCGCAGGCGAGTTCTTCTTCGACGTACATCCCCCTCTGGGTAAGCTGATCCTTGCTTTCGTGGGGTGGCTCGGGGGTTGGGACGGCCGGGATTTCCAGTTCGACAAAATACATAAGGAAATACCTGAAGTGAGTCATGTGCGA